AAACACTTGTATGCCTCGGCTACTCGTTATTGTTGTTGGGCTCTTTGTATACGTTGTTTTAAACGAATAAAATTATTTAATTAAACACGACGCGTAATTGTCGACGAAACTGTAAAATAACGGAGGCAGTCGCTCAAGAAAATACCACATTGCCCAAATTTTAAATATCCCTTTGTAATTTACGTCAGCGACAAGCTATAATCTATTAATAAAATTAAATTAAGTTTATAGATAAAAGCTTATACATCGTAGGGACAATTACGCTCTGAACTATAACAAAGATAATGAGATCTATTGAGTGATTCATATATTTTTACATTCAGAGAGAATTATAAATCTCATTCTAGATGTGTAAAGCCATTTGTTAGACAAAATAGAAGAGGAAGTAACTTACACTACAAATTCGATTTGTAATGCAAGTTGCTCCCGGGCTTCTGACAGTTAGAATCGTAACGCGAAGAATAGCTAATGACTCCATTATTCAGTTATGAGTGTAACTGATAATCGAATCTTAGGCACTGTTGCCCGAGCTCATTGCTTAATCTGTATTCAAATTCGCCTATCCAACTAGGCAAATTTGCATCGGAAACTAACTAGTTGCTAATATTTTATTTTTTCAAATAAAGAAGTCTACTGTTTGTTGTAACATAAAGAGCAACGAAAGAGAATTTCACCTGCAGAGGATAAAAATAGTAGGAGTTTTAGAGATTTCACTTGCATACACATAAACAGATGATGTCCTTTATATTAAAATAATATTAAAATTTCTTTATCCACTAGATTCTAAGTAAACACTCCATTGGAGGGATGGCGAATTTTTATGAACTCGTGTTTCATATAGTAAACATACTCGTACTTAGCTCAAGTGTAATGATAAAAAAATTAATTCTACCGTAATAAATGTTTTTCATGAATTATTACTTAATTTTTTATTGATTTCATAACTTTTATTGAGATGTTAATTAAGTACAAAAGTTTTGTTTTGTGGAAAAATTAATGTGTTCTATAATGTATAGGTACTGTACAATACGCTAGTTTGTATCATTTTATTTAATAATTTACCGTAATAAATGTTTTTCATGAATAGTTACTTAATTTTTTATTGATTTTATAACTTCCATTGAGATGTTAATTAAGTACAAAAGTTTTGTTCTGTGGAAAAATTAATGTGTTCTATAATGTATAGGTACTGTACAATACGCTAGTTTGTATCATTTTATTTAATAATTATCAAAACTAAATGTTTTATTTTTAATTAATGATGGAAAATTAATTACGACATTAAATTTTTAATTTAGAGTTTTTATTGTGTTATATGAAGAAAGAATAGGTTGACGTAATTCGGGTATTATATTAGTTATATGAAATTGAATCGACGATGTTAAAGGAGGAAAATGAGTTCATTTCGCTTCGTTATCTGCTGTTTAATGTGTATAAGTTGTGAGCTGCAACAAATTAATAACCGCATAATAACAATATAAAATTAACTTTTTTGTTACGGGCTAGTAGGTGAAAGAGTGGTCAAAATTTTTCTATAAAAGAATGCGATTTTTAAAAAAAGAATATCAAACAGTTTCTTCTTTTGATATTTTTTTAAGTGGTACATTGTGTAATTTTCGTTACCGAACTTGTCATTTTTCCAATTTTAATGGTATGCAACGTAATAATGATGACTCATAATAACTTCAAAAACAAAAAATTAATTCTAATTTAAAAGAACTAAACTGCTATAATGATAGTGTTTTCTGCTTTTACTTTCTATTCATATGTTTTTTCACAAGCAAAGAGAAAACCTTTTACATGTATTCATTTTCGATTAAGAGGAAGAAAAAGAGAAAAGGGTTTTATTCTTAACCTCTTATATTAAAAATTAAATTATTCCGAAATAATATCAATTGTATTTGATGACAAAACAAAAATAATCACTTAATAATAGTAATACAATTTTTCTGCACGATTGAATTCTATGTCAAATATATGATGTAACATATATATAAATATTGTTTTTACGAAACATTTTAACATATTGTACGAAGGAAAAGGTACGTAAAATTATATATATAATATATATTAGAATATCTATATATACAGTAGATCCCCTATAAAAGCGTTTCCTATAGTTATGATTCCTATAAAAATTGTGGCATTATCCGTAAACAACGGTAAAAATAACTCCTATAATACGTAAAACGTCATCGGGCAGCCGAACTACTTACCCGCCGTCCGTAGCGCCACGCTACGGAGAGATTTCTATCGTCTGGACAGTATTATATAAATTATATATAAATTAGGTACTGTACATATAATTATATATTAATTATATATAAATTAGGTACTGTATATATAATTATATATTAACTTAATTTATTGTAACTTTATTATAATTAAATATATATTTTTCGCCGTCTAGCGTCACGCTACGGCGAGTTAGGCGACCTATCGTCTGTTTAGTACTGTAATTTTATACATTTCTTGTGAAAGAAACATTTCTTATTTAACGGCCATAAAAATTATTTATATTAATGATGTCTCCAAAGGTCAACGAAGTTTTAGCAGAAAAATAATATCAGAAATAGCGGCCGCAATTTGATGCGCTGTTCCGCGACGAAACCAAGCTTTAGCAACGAGCGTAGTC